AATATTAGGTGTGTCCCGCGCGCTCATATGACCTTATGCAGTTGCGAGCGCCGTAAAACACTTTACAAAAACAAAAAACAAAAAATCATTATTATTTCAAGATTATGCTTCTCTTTACCACTCAAACTCACTCGATTTACCTAAAGCTAATAAAAGCTTAAAAATTCAAAAGAGGATCTTAAGTACGGATTCAAACCAGAGTAACATAACGATGAGTGAAAATAAGGCAGAGCAATTTTATTACATTGTAACAAATGACAAAACTCTAAAATTGATTAATTGATCAAATATACATATGTAGATGTAGGCCTACATGAATGAAAAGAAGGACATTGTCTTGAATGACCCTCCTTGTCATTATGAATGGAGACCAGAAGAAAATGTGATGAGGATAAAAACCTGTTCTAATAATAAACAGCATCATGTACATTACATTTTATTAAGGCCCATACTTCAACTCGAAAGTAAGCTCACATGCGTGTTAAAATTCATTATTCAGACAGACTTGGTAACATTCTGAATTGTTCTCAGCTTCCTTGAATCCAAATTGGAACTATTCGGTGCAAGCTGCAATTTCACTGACATACACATTAATTTGATACTAAACTCACAAGATAAGTCACGGTTTTAGCCGAGTACTCAATTACTACTTATTCCAACCTAGAGATAACGTGAGGAAAATTTGCGTAAATTGTCTGTACCAAGGACACATCCATTCGAGCAAAATACTGAACCCTATTACCTAATTATGCGTCACGACGCGGTGGAATCAGGCTCTCGTCAATTTTTGGGCATGCGGAGTTATTGGTATCACCTGAAAGCTGATTTATTTGCCTTGCTTCCAATAAAATAAATATCCATCTATCTTGAAGAGAAGTCAAGATCAAAATATTAGCGATTGAAAAAAGTGAGATCGCCTGGTTTCAGTGGTGAAATTATTGAGAAATTGGCCGTCAAAGTGCGGTAACTCCAATAGCTTAAAGAGTCTTTGAAATCTGGAAAATGACATATTTTGTGCCTTTAATCAAAGTTTTTCAGTAAAATTCATACACGGAAATGTGTTTTTTATGGACCTAAAAGAGGTTAAGCCAAAAAAAAAAAAAAAAATTCGATAAAATTATCCAAACTGGGGGAAAAAAGCCTGTTTCTCCGATTCCATTACTTTGACGAGAGCCTGATTTCACCACACTGCCTCATATGTAACTGGGGCTGTAACTTACTGTAACTGTAAGGGTTGATAATGTTTGTTAAAAAGTTTTCAACTCAGGTATTTATTTCTGACAGAGCGACTTCCTACCCCTCATACATTAAAGCACAGAAACGGAATTCTTTTTACAGTTTACAAAATAACCACATCTAAGTTATAATCCATCTTGCTTTCAGAAAAATGAAAATCATACAATTTAAGATTACAACTAAAACAACAAGACTTTCACTCTCAATTAATTACAAAATGACAGCAAATTGCAACATTCAAACTATTGTAAGGTCATCTATGACATTGACAGACATCCATCCATCACACATTGCGAAATTGCAACATGACAACTTTTTCATCGCTGTCACACTACAGTGGAGTCATATCAACCACACAATTTTCATCAATAGACCTGCTTCTAAAATGTTTGTCATTTCCCCCAACATTCGCGTCAAAGTCAAATTGTTCGGACATCTAACCAGAATGCCCCACAAACAACTAGCGCTAGAGCTTACAACACCCGAGAATCCGGCTTCAAATCAAGAGGAAGACCAAGAAAGACCTAGCTGGATGGGGTTAAAAAGGTCCTGGAACAACATTATAACATATAACAATCACAGACGCTACACACGTAGCACAGGACCGAAACTTGCTCCTCCAAAGTAAGTAAAGTAAGTTTCCCCAACATTTTCACATCAGAATCAGATCAAAAGCTGCCCTCGAGTCTGCTGAGAGAGACTACCACCAGACTTCTTTATGCAGAGGCGTCAGTCACATCATACGCATCCCCCTGATCTTCCTCCTCCTCCTCTTCCTCCTCAGCCTGTTCATTCTGCGTGTCGGGGCCGGGAATGTGAGTAGCCAGTAAGTCCAAGAGCTCCTCAATCTGAGTCTCTGAAAGCCTCTCCTCACTCTCTTCCACAATCAGCTGAATCTCGACAGCTGAGCTGGGGCACAAGTTAATCAGCTGCAGTTTTTCTGCTGCGGTAAGACCGTATGGAGCCAGCGCTTTCATGGCGGCGCTGAGACCACTGGGCGTATGATGAGCACATGGCCAGTTTTCCAGACACTTAATTGTCTCGTAAGTGATGGTAGCCAAATTAGTTTGAAACTTATTCGGCTTCTTTTGGCCTCTTCCGGCCTGAATGTCTTTCAGCAAGCCTAAAACTTCGTAATTACTGAGCATCGCATGATTCTTGCTTTTCACCTCCATGTTGCTTCACACTTTGTGACACAGTTAGAAACACACTGGCAGCTACTCTAGTTCTGGGATATTTCGGTCTATAAAGTCACTCAGTGGCCAGGCAACTCTCGCTGAGAAGCATGTCTGCCTGCTGCGAATACATACGACCAAACCAGGGCGACGATTATGAATAGGAGCTGCCGAGACAAACAAAACAAAAGCAGAAATTAGTTAAAAGATTTACATCATCATAACCTGATTCAAAAATTAAATCAACATTAAGGGGATGACCCCTGAGCTTCAGGCATCATTTGTAAATGGGGTGACCTGCTGTGCGTTAAAAGAAAAGGAAAGATGCCCCTTTACTTCTGGAAGTGAGACGTTTATTTTATTATATGTTTTTCATTTTTCTCCTTACCTTGACCTTGACAATAAATAGAGTCAAAGCACAGGCTCCAAAATCATTTATTATGTCAACTCAATGTGTCAATAGACTAGAGGTGTAAAACATCAGTCATTAATAGGATACCACTATATAAGTATCAAGGAGAAGTTTTCAAATGTTCAAAATTATAAGCAAAGATCAGACATTGGAATAAAGTAAAGTAGTCAACAGCATCCAAGAAAAAATGTCAGTCAAGTAGATTCCAAAATGGAATGTCTCACTCTCAGGGATCATAACAAAAAACATACGGTAGTAGTAGCAAACATAAATCTGCCACACAGATTTAAAAAACAGGATTAGATTTAGGCCGGGAGTCTACATGAGATGAAGCCTTACTGAAAACTGTCAATAAAAGGTAGGGGCTAAGAAGACTGAATGTGTCTAATCGTGACAGTTAAGACAGGAGATGGCCTAGTAGTACAAGTGTATTCCACACACAAAAAGAAATGTAGGCTATTACAAAAATGGTAGCGTCAATTGCCACCGAGTGACGTGGTGGCAATTGACAAAAATTTACTTTTTGTCAATTGCCACCGAGTGAAGCGGTGTCAAGTCTGAAAACAACACTATCTATTTAGCATTATACATAATGTGTGTCTAATGGGTCAATTTGTTCTCAACTAATTTCATTGGATGAGCATCTAGTCTAGAGCTACGGTACCAGCTTGGCGTGTTTTCAATGAGACGTAGGCCTAGATCTAGGCTAGCCTTAGCCAACACTTTGGTGTAGAACAGAGAGGGTTTACAGTAATAATAGTATTACTGTAAACTCTCTGGTGTAGAACCAACACAGGCAATTCTAGAAGTAGAAGGTCACAAACGCACACAAACTCTTGAAGCAGAAATTCACGTTATATCGGGGAACATAAATTGGGGGACGGGGGTCAGGAAAAGACACACATACACACACACACACACACAAACACACAGAGGGACAGAGAGGCGAACGCACAACACCATGCACTCGAGCACAATAAGCTACGCAATTGACAAAAAGTCAATTTTTGTCAATTGTCACCGCGTCACTGACTCGGTGGCAATTGACACTACCTACAAAAATATACGTATATATACAGAATCTTGTGCTAGAGATGGAAAGACAAAAGAAATTTTAAAAGTAGTAATAGAGTAATACCACCCCCACCTAGGTTCTAATTATACTACACTACAGTTAGACTCTACTCTGTCCCTACTCATGAGTGTTTAAGATAATTGATGGTTCATCATGAACTTTATTTGATCTTAATGATTGCATTTTCGGCTGGATTGAACTTTGGTGGGCCCACTGTGTTTACTTCTATTAATGTGAACTAGGCATAGCAACAGTGGCGGGTTTCACTTTCAGGGGGAGAGCCAGAGGAGGAAACACCCAACCCCTCTAATTTCACCATCTTTAATTCAATATTTTGCAATTCGAAGTGACTATTCGGACTCTGATTCTTGTCCAGCATGACATCA